TTCAATAAATGATAGTTGAAAATATTATAAATTTATAAATGTAAACCTAAAATTTTTAGTTGGGAAAATTTTAAACCAACAATATTTTAAATTAAAAAAATATTTAATAAATGTTAAAACGGCGTGCCATAAGTTTGGCTCACTAAACGCGAAAATCGCACTTAAAATTCGAGATATGATTTTTCAATTTTTTTTTTATTTTCTGAGGTGTTTTGACGTTTTAGAGTATACTTCGAGTTCTAATTGATCGATTTGACCAAACAAGCACTTAAATCAAAGGTAATTGAGCCCTCTACAACTTTCTCTTGTATAGTTTTAGTATCGGCTCAGTAGTTAGATACTGGCGATTTTATGAAGTTAAAAAAGTCCTTTTTTTTACAAAAATCGAGGACGAAAATTTATATATCCTACTGGGAAAGATAGAAATCGAAAAGATAAGTCCAGTTTGATTTATTTTACGTATAGATTATACTTAAAGGAAAAAAATAAGCTGCTGTTGATAAAAATCCATGGACAAATGGCGAAGTTATGAATTTTTCAGTGGAAGACCAAAATTCAGTTTTTCGAGAATTTTTACGTTTTTTCGTCATTTTATTGCATTATATAAAATATAATTTGTTTTTTGTTGCTTTTGTATTCCGTTTCTCTTATGAGGGACCAAAACGTTCTCCGTGCTCATCACTTACGTCACCCAAATTGTGCGGGTTATTTACGCACTCGAACTCTCTACTTCTTTTACTCATTTTACACTTTTTATTAACTAAATAAAACCATGATAAAAATACCTTGTTGAAATATCAAAAAATATCAGTAAAATGTCACTATGCCAATACAAGAAACAAAAGAATTCACGTTTGCGGAGTCATGTCAAATTTAAATTTTGAATAATGTTTTCGGTGAAAAAAGTACGTATAAAACTATAATAAAAGAAGAAAAAAACATCAGCTTGTTTTTTTTGTAAAAATGTCAGCTTTACGAAAAAAAATCAAACTGGAGATATATGTTTGATTTAAACCTTTCCCAGGACGATATGTAAATTTTCGACCTCAATTTTTGCCATAAAAACGAATTTTTAATAATAATAATAATATATATATATTTAAGTTATTAAAATCGCTAGCGTCAAAATACTTATCAGAAATCAAAAATATGTGAAAGAAAGTTTTAGAGGGCTCAAATACCTTTAATTTAAGGGCTTGTTTAACCAAATCATTCCATTAGATTTCAAGATATTCTCAAAAACGTCAAAACACCTCCGAAAATTGAAAAAAAAAAAAGAATTGAAAATTTATGTTTTAAAAACGCTCCCATAAAAAAAATTGAGTGTGATTTTCGTGTTTAGTGGATCAAAATACAAAAACTAGTGTAATTTTGTAGAATAAAATATTAAAACTACAAATTTTAAAAACAAATATTTTAAACTTAAACTTTTACATATGCATTTTATATTTAAAATATTTTTTGATTATCAATTGTTTTGAAATTAAAAAAACAACTTTTTAAACTATTTTGGTAGAAAATGTTGTATATGTGTTGTTATTTTAAATGTATTTACACTATTTTTACTAAAAAATTATACTTAACCAATTTAATATAAATAATTTTATAAAAAATTTATTTACGATTTTCAAAATTCTGCCCAAATAAATTATACTTAATGATGGTTGCAAAAATTGATTGGAAATAATATTGTTTAATACAGAAGTGAATTAGTAAATTTTGTCTATCAATACATGATAGATAAAAATATTTTAAATATATAAATGTAAACCTAAAATTTTTAGTAAGGAAAATTTTAAACCAAAAAAATTTGAAATTAAAAAAATTATGTAATAAATGTTAAAATGGCGTGCCATAGATTGCTATAATACAATAAAATATGTTTACACATCCCAAGAAAACATAACATAATTTAAATCAATGATTGTTGCCAAAAAATGATGATCAAAAGCCAATCATTGTTTTTATGACAATAATATAAATAAGATTTACTTACACAGCATGTAAACTTTGATATATTTCTTCCTCAGCTGTAGTTTTTTCTTTTTGCGCATAAAACCCCCTAAAATACAGATATATAAAGTAAAAAAACATAAATACAATCCTATGGGTACTTACTTAATATTGGATTTCTGAGATTTGGAATGGAGTGAAATCTTCGAGAGAGTACAAAGGACCTTATGAAAATTGGAGAGATCGAAAAGCATAGCCGCTTCAAACATCTCAGCTTTTTCCAGACCAAAGCTGTTTATGCACGTCAGCAAAAAAATACTGATATTTCTTAAGCACAAAAACTAAAATTAATAAACATGTGTGTAAACAAATAAAATGCGACATCTGTCAGACAGGTTTAACCTCACTTTTTTCAATATGACATCTGTCAAATGGTTTTAACCAATTTAAGAGTGGATTAAACAAAAAATGTATGTGATGAAATTAAAATACTAATAAATTGAAAGCAATTAAAAACAATCAAATAAAATATAAAATTTAGTTTTTTTTTTCTTTCCTAAAAAAGTATATTTGGTTCATTTTCTTAAAAGGGTGTAACTTATTTTATTTGGGTCCTAAGCAGCCCATAAAATTCTGCTTCGTTATAGCCAGACATAATAAGTCTCATATTATAATAACAATAAAATTTTGTATTGTCTGGCAAAAAAAATTATATATTAAATTAAATTGATAACTCTGGAATTTTTTTTGTAGACTTCCTGTTTTGGAAAATTAAATATTTAACCTATTCTTTAAAGGCAGTAAACTTTCCAGTTAAAATTATTTGTTCAGCTCGTTTTAATGTTTTTTCAATTTTGAGTGATACAGACATTCTCCAGCAATATAAAAACTTCTTACTTGAGCCATTGTGGGTTTGAGGTTAACAGTTTTCATGTCGATACATCCAGGGTCAATCTTGTTGAGCAATTTGCACAAAACCACCCCATCGCGAAGAACATTTGCAAAATCCACTATCTTTGATTCTGGCAAATTGACTTTGTGATCGGGCCTGATCATTTCCCAATTGGTTAACCATTGAGCGCAGTCCCTCCACAACTCATCATTCGGGTCCAAAACAAAATTTGATGCCATTTTAAGCTAAAACAACCCAAAATGTAGAATACACAACCTGAGGAAACAATCTGCTTACCTTGGTATTTTGAAACGCACCCTTTCTTATATCTCAAGCACTTTATTCAGTTTACGAATTCATTACATTTTAATACCGGAAAATAATAAATAAATCCAATATCAATAAGGAAAAACACAAATTTTACCGATTGACTAGAATTAGTGATCAAAGAACACTGAGAGAGGGGGCGTCGCTGTTGCCAGATCTACGAACAGAGACTACGACTGAAGATAAAACCAAAAAAACGTCAACAGGTGTTTTAAAAATCAATATCCTCGTATAACAACGATCAACAATTTACAGGCCTGTCACAATTAAATTTATTTAACAATTTCCATCTTTCAGATCTATATTTTTGTTATTTATTGGTTGGTAACTTTTATTTGTTGATAAATGCATAAAGTTTTAAAAGTAAGGTTAGGAATTTTTTAAAGTAGAAATCCAATTATTTAAATGTTTTAAATTACGTATGTAAACGCGTGTGTATTGTGTGTATATAACAAGCAGGTAATTAAATTTACAATATTTGAATCCTCTGATTTAATTACATTTATGTATTTACAATACCTTCACGAAAATGGAAAGTGTGCACTTGAATATACCCACTGGGTATACCCACAGAGTGCCCTAGCAAGGGTATAACCACTATGGTGGACGAAATCTATTGCTATAATTCTGGTATATACCCTAAATTTTAAGTATATACTACACTACAAACTGACAGATACAAACCTAATAAAAATTATTTTTTTTTATCTGGACTGCATCAACGTTGCAAATTTAGGGTTTTGGTTGGTAAATATATAATATAAATCAAGTTAGTCGCAATGATTAAAACAAACTAAGCTAGTTATAAATCTATAGATTATTATAATTGTGGTTATGTATAAATTATTGTAGGTTACATTGTGCAGTTGTCAAGTTGAGTTCATAGTTAAAATTTTTAACTTAAAAATGCAATTAATTTGGCTTTGGTGGTGCTTGGATGAGTAAAATCATATAAAAAAAGTAGTTAAATATAGGTTGCTTTACGGCCCAGAAGAGAAAGTATTTCTAGCGGATAAAAATCTTCGCTTTGAAAAGAATTTAGGTATATAATAGAAATTAAAATTTTTTGTGAACGTAAAATTTGTCCAATGGTGAATAATGTGAAAATAATGTGTGATGTAATATTTATTAAACCAAATTCGTTACTTTTTTACTCCAAAAATGTCCATAAGGTGATGTACTTTTTCTTCCATTGTGGCATCTGGCATCAAAATGAAGTTTTGCCCTCAAAAGGGCTTTTACATTCGAATTCGTTGCTATTATTTTTGGCATAATTATCTTTTATTTATAATTGACAAGTAAATTATCAATAATAAATATTATTGTCAATTTTACAGTTCCGTAATTTATTTAATTAAATTCTTTGGCAGAAGTACCAATTTTAAATAATAAAAATACCAAGTCAAACTGGCATAAGCCACCAACCTAACAAAAAATCACGAGTCCAGATAAAAGATGAACTGTGTGTAGTTCCTGTGTATAACACCTTATTAAAACCACATAATCTGGATGTTAAATAAATAAATAAATAATATTACCAAGGGACTGATTAACACATACTATTTTTCATTCTATAGCAAATTTTTCCCGACTGTACTTCATTTATGTTAGTGGAGGTATGGCGAATAGTCTAATAGTTTAAAATAAAAAATAACAAATGGATTTAAAGAGTTCCCTAAATATGTGGATTTTGCTGAGATTGTTTAAAAAACAACGTTGTAAGAATTAATACTAATAATAATCACACACACTGTAAATTTTGTATTTGTTGCCAACAAAATTTCAAATGTCACTAAAAATGACTTGTCATTGCTGTTAAATTGCAAATGGCAGATGCAATGGCCGCTAGCAGTGGCGGAGTAGATTGGTGCACTATACTTAAACCATTTTTATCGGCAATTAACGATACAACCAATAAAACAGACCTAATCGAGTTTTGTTCTTCGATAGTGAAGAGGTAAGAAATGGCATCTTTTTAAGCGCGTTGAAGACCAGTTCTATTATTATACGCAATAAACAAATACCTACTGTCATTCGAAAAATAATTTACTAGACATTTTGTTTATACAGTGTTTTTGTTTCAGCAAGTCTGAAATTTTTTGCAATAAAGAAACAAGCAAGAATTTCTACAATTCTTTTGCAGTCCTTGCAGCAGACTACATAAGCAGCAATAGTAAAAATTGTAAGTCTCATTGGTTATGTTATTTTTATCTGCGCAATTATTATGGTTTTTCCTGGAAAATAACTATCTGTAAAAATAAGTTTTGAGTTTATTAGGTTGAATTGAAAATGAAATGGGTTTATTTTTAGCTTTGCCATATTCACCTTCATGTCAACTTTATTGTGCAATAATAGGACATAGGTGGACCCTATGATAAATTAAATACTTGTATGAGTCAAAATAAAATAAACTCAAATGCAATATATGTATATATATATCCCTTATTTAAAAAAATGTGTCTTATTTGCTAAAATTAATACTATTTTTTGTGTAATTTTGTTTATTACCAAAGGCTCTTTACATTTTAGTATCTTCAAGCCAGTTGGAAGTGGTAAGCTCTGCATGCCGAGTTCTCCTTAAGCACTTGCTCGATACGCTACAAGTTTGGGCAAGTGAAAGTAGTCGAGACCAGGCTGAGGGCTCAATTGAGCGCTACCTGAATGCCGTACAGGTTCTGTGCGTAGGAACGGGTCTGCTAACCGAGCAAGACGTCGCCCGATTGGTGGACACAATGAAGGGCGAAAATTTGCCCCAACATGCTAATCCACCCCCAACAGGTAAATTGTTGTAAAATATAATTTAAAATTTAAATTTTCTTATATACCCTGTATAAATGTGAATTAAATTTTTAATACAATATTTATGGAATATTATAAGGCAACTCATTTTAATTACCATGGTAGCTTCACGGAGGTTAGGATTTCATACGTTTTTTTTAAAACATCCCTTTGTATATTTGAAATAAGTTATTGTATCTATCTATACTATCTTTTGACACCTTAATATTTTTAAAAAATACAATTGTACATGCATAAAATATTTATAAAAAAATATACTTACTGAGATATTACACTTCACGGTGGATAGGTTTTTAAATAGCAAATTAATGAACTTAAACTTTTAAATTATAAAACAGCAACACTCTCATCTGCATATAAATTCTAACTGACCTTCAGGAATCACATGCATCTGTAATGTCGTAAACAGAGGTTTTTGCTTATTTAAAATGATTAAAGCGCCATCCGTTGCATAAAATTTAAAGCAAAAACAGATTCACGGAGGATAGAATCAATTTTTGTAACACCTACATAAATGGTTATAAAAATTATTTCTTTTAATTTTTAACAATATTTTATATTTGATTCGATTGCTTTGGATGTGTTTAATTTACTTGGTAAACTGATATTTTTAGTATGCTTTTACTACCTCCGATATTTAAAAACATATAGGTTAACCTAGAAAGAGTAACATTGACGGAGGATAGGTTATAGACTTTTAAAACATTGTAAAAAATAATTAATTGCGGTTAAAAATCTGGAACCTGAGCTGTAATATCTACTTAATTATGAAAGATCAAAATACAATAAAAGTGTAGGTCAAAACTCATTTAGTTTTATTAAATATCACGGGGTAACACCATTGGGGGACATTTCGTGAGATTCACCCGTATATATTTCTAATTTTGTATTTTATTAATTTTATAATAATCTTGTTATAAATGTTTTAGTAATTTAATTAACGCCTATTACTCAAAACGCGTAATAATACTACCATGTATTACGATAAATTACCTAGTATTTATAACATTTGGTATTACCTCAGGTATTACTTAATATTAGGTTTTATAACTTAATATTACGTTGTATTACTTGGTAATACGTCATATTTTTATTGCAGATTCGGATCATTCGACTAAAAATAGGTAGATTTTGTCTAAATAATTTTTTCATATTTTTAATAGAAGTCGCTGTAATGAAAAAAAATAAATTTGTTTGATTTTTCTTCTGTACATGATTCTCCAATAATTTTTGAATAAAATACTTGGTTTTATTATTTAAATATATTTATTTATTTTTTAAATTTTTTTCAAAGTAGGTGCTCAAAATAACAATATTAAATATATGCTCGACGAACTCTTTTTTTCGGTTGAACACTCCCGTTTGTAGAAAACTGCTTACTGTACGGTGAAATGAAGTACGTGATCGATTTTTTCTGGAAAACGCTGAGCGTAGATATTAACAGCATCATCAAGATTCCTGCCTGCTTCTCCATAAATCAAAATCATTTCTATTTTTTCTTTCACTGTTAAAAAATCCATTATGAATAACTGCTTAACGAAAGGAGGTCTTTTTGTTTGCAAATTAATCTTTGAACTAAATTGATTAAATAATGCTAAACTATGTATACCTCAATAATAATTTTTTTTATACCTCAATTAGGATTAAATTAATTATAATAATGTTTTTTTTTACCTTAAATGAGGTATTTTTATTAAAAATAGTACAATAATCCTTTAAATTAAAGGATTTAATGCTGGCAGGTAAAAATTTACCATGATGCGCAATTGATAATTATCACCGAATGAAATAATGTATAAAACTTAAAAAATCGTGGGTACTTAAAAAAATCAGATTTAATTTAATAAGATAATAATTACCAAAAACGTGATATTTTTATCAGAATCGAATAAGAAAAAAAATCGAACAAAATTGATTTTTTTCATTTCAGCGCCATCTATTACAAATATGAAAAATGTTTTAGACAAAATCTAACTATTTTTTGTCGAATTATCCGAATATGCAATAAAAAATAATTTATTCGTAAAAAGCATACTAACTGAGATATTTCAAATTTCAAGTTATATTTTTCATCATAAAATCAATGATATGGATCTTTTTCTGTTGTGAAGTATTAAAAATATGTTCAGTCTGTATAATTGATTTTTATAAAAAGGATATAAAATTATAGGAAACGAAAAAGAGTCAAGCAATAAACAGGAAAGCTCCAAAACCCGATCGGATTTATCCGTAAGCATATTCGAGCAATTGACGTTACCGCTAAGAGATGGCAACAGTGTCAGCGAAGCCGGAAGTAGTGGCGGATCTGCGCAGGCCGAGGCTGGCAGCAGCAACGATCCCACTTCTGAAATTAACGTACGCCGATTGTTTAACTAAGCCAACGACGTTGTTAATTGATTTTTTTTTGTAGAGATTGTTTCTAAAAGCAAACACTGAAAGTCTGCAGGCCTTAAGAGCCGGCGATACGCTGGTGGATTTGTGTTTGAGTCTGCCTTCAATTAAAAGAGCTAAAACCAAAGTAGAAGAAGCGTTGGCTGGTAAACCCTTCAGTATTCCCACCAACCACTCGGAAGCCACGGCTCTAAGAAATGGGTATGTAATTTTTTTGGTTCATTTTTTTTATTTGGTTGGTAGCTTATGCAGGTTTGATTTAGTGTTTTTAGTATGTAAAAAATGGTCCTTCTGCTGAAGACCTTAATTAAATACTCTGACACTGTTTTTATGGACTTTTTTGGAGTAAAAAAGTAACGTTTTTGGTTTTACAAATATTAAATCGCACATTATTTTCAGCCAAGCAGATCAAAATTTTTCGTTTTTTAAAACGAATATTTATTTATTCGTCTACATTAACGTTGTCGCCTTCAAAATAGTCCCCATTGGATATTATGCACATGTGCCAGCTCTTCTTCCAATACTCGAAACACTTCTAAAACTCGATCTTTGGGATAGCCTTTAGTTCTTTCAGCGATGCGCTTTTAATGTCATCTATGCTTGCAAAACGACGGCCCTTTAAGGTTCTCTTTATTTTTGGGAATAGGAAAAAGTCAGACAGAGGCATGTCTGGCGAATATGGAGGCTGGAGCATCATTACAGTATTGTTTTTGGCCAAAAATTTTGTTCAAAATGTAACAATTTTAGAACAAATTTTGCTGCCACGCGTTTCATACCCAAAACATTCGAAAAAATTTCATGGGATAAGCAAATCGATTTACCAACATCATCAGCGACTTCTCTGATGGTTTATAACCATTTCTTCCACTTTTTCCATGTTTTTATCGGTTGTTAATGTGCTTGTGCGTTCGGGGCGTTCGTCATCTTCAACGTCTTCACGGCCATCTTGGAAACTCTTATACCACTTGTAAACTCTTGTTTTACTTATAGCAGACTTACTATAGGCCTTTGTTAACATTTCACAAAATTTATTTCATTTTTTAAGCAAAATTTGATACAAATTCTTTGATCCATTTCTTTTAACGAACGAAAAATCGCCGAACTCATAAAACACGTCTAACCTTAGCGGCTGCCACAGACAAAGTAAACAATGAAAACAGCTAAAGTTTTTATCATACTTCGGGGGCATGTATACCAACATAATAAAGAAAATTTTATGACAACCGGACCCTCCGAACTCGCGAAATTTAACAATTCCCGTTATTTTCTGAACACACCTCGTAGTTTACAAAATCGAAAAAAAATTCTGCCCACCATATCCTATTTTAATTTTCCTATGTATTTTGACCCACTAAACAAGAAAATCACACTAATTTTTTTTTATGGAATCGTTTTTGAAATATGAATTTTCAATTGTTTTTTTTTCAAATTTCGGAGGTGTTTTGACGTTTTTTAGAATAGCTTGAAATCTAATTGTCCGATTTGGTCAAACAAGCCCTTAAATTGAAGGTATTTGAGCTTTCTAAAACTTTCTTTTACATACTTTTGATATCGAATAAGTATTTTGACGCTTGCGATTTTAATAACTTAAAAAATTCGTTTTTATGGCAAAAATTGAGGTCGAAAATTTACATATCGTCCTGGGAAAGGTTTAAATCAAACAGATAACTTCAGTTTGATTTTTTTTCGTGAAGCGGACATTTTTACAAAAAAAAAAACAAGTTATGTTGATATAAATGCATAGAAAAATGGCGAAGTTATGAATTTTTTAGTGGAAGATCAAAATTCACCTTTTTGGCGATTTTTATTTTTTTTCTTTTATTTTGTAATATGTTTATTCTTTAATGAAAAGTGCATGGTTGGAATTTTTAAAGTTTTTTACGTACTTTTTTCACCGAAAACATTATTCAAAATAAAAATTTGACATGACTCCACAAACGTGAATTCTTTTGTTTTTCGTGTTGGCCTAGTGACATTTTACTGCTATTTTTTGATATTTCAACAAACACGGTGGTCAAAACTAAAGTTTAGGACGAACAAAAATGCCAACCAAAACTGATAGCATAATCTGATTATAGACCCTTTTGGTAACACAAAAATGAATTTATCAAAATCCCAGCTGATCCTTTATTAAAGTTTTGCATATTTCTTAGTATTTAAAAATTGTTTATGCCATTTTGATAAAATACTCTAGTACCATTATCAAATGTTTTTAAAAATTTGGCAGATACATGACTGAAATATGGATAAATTACATTATAAATACAAAATAATGTAAAATACAGTTTGCAATATCTTATTTATTGTTTTAAGGTACCAAATACAAAACTAATAAATAACTAAAGATTCTTTGAAGCAAAATCGATTACTGCTTGCCTTAAATTTTCAGTAAAACTTTTTCTTGGGTTTTACATGGAATTGTTTTTAACTTGGAAACGGTATTTTTAAATTCTTCAGTCTCTGTACAAACATGCTTCTTACATCTAGCGATATCCCCTAGAAAGGAAGAGCATATCAAAACTTTAGTTCGTTCGTCCGTCCTCTTCCCTTAATAATTTTTTATGCCATTTTGCAGATAAAGCACATACATTCTTGGCTGCCGCGAAATTCTCTAGCAATTTCTATATTTTGAAAATTTGGCAATTGTGGCAAATTGTGGAAAAATACCGTTTTTACCATATTGAAGTACTTAGGTAATTTTGAATCACATAAGTTAAAGTGTTCGTTTGAAAAAGTCTGCAGTAATTTTTATATTTTCTCAGAAAGCCTAAACTCTGAATTTTTCGATTACCAAAAACAATTTTGTCTCCACAGCCAGCACATACCTTCTTTCGATTTTCTTCATGGCTTAACTTGAATTTCGGTTTAATTTTCATTTTAAAATACTATTTTTAACTTTATAAAGTATACATTCAATAAACAACTAAAGCAAAATGTCACTTGCGTTATAACGTATAGCAATTTTTTTCATAACCACCTTAATTATTGTTTTACAAAATTTGCAAGTTGTAATTATTTCATAGACAAACTTCCAGTATTTTTTGTTATAAAAAATATTTAAGATGTAAATCTTTGTTTTTTTTTGTTATGTTTTGTTTTGAGTGGTAAAAAATAATAGGTGACTCAATAAATTAATACTGGGGAGTAAAGTAATTTAAATGATACAATGTTTATTATTTTGCTCAATTTTATTAAAATTGTACAGGTAGTTTTAGTACAATAATTGAAAAATAATATATAGAAATAGAAAAACAAAAAAGTTTGCAAAACTTTAAAATAGGATCAGCTGGGATTTTGATAAATACAATACGATTTTTGTATTTACCAACCAAACCACTAAATTTGCAACGGACTACTCGTGACCAATTGCTCTCATTTCCCCTTCCAGCTTGTCCTTTAACTTGTCCGAGATCAACCTGGCCATGTCGGCCATCACCTTGCCGGTGCTGGAACCGCTCACTGCCAGCAAACTGGATAAGCTGTGCAGCCTGGCGATGGCGGTTTTGCACTGCGCCATCGGCCAAGCGGCGGCCAGCGCGGTCCTTTCCACCGCGACCGTAGTCTCGCCTAAGTGTTCGTCGCAACAACAACCTGCTGGCGGAATCAAGGAGGAAGATTTGGACGCGAACGCGGTGGCTCTGGTCGAAGAGGCGCTCAACATGTATCAGTACATTGGAACTACCATTAAGTTGTCTACCAGAGCTGGCGGACATGTGAGTACCATTTGGTTTAATTTTTTTTTGGTTTTCATATCAATTTCATTTTCTTTTTTCGAGTGACATTTTTTCTTGAAATTACGATAAATTGCCCAACGATCTTTATAATTCACGGTGCTGTTCTGAGAGGTGATTTTTGGACTTTCTGTGAAACCTAATTTTTTTTATATTCTTGTTAATTAGCTCATAACTAAAATTATCCAATTAAAAGCGATTTAATTTAAATATTTAATATTTGCATAACTAAAAAAAAAGGTTTTTACAATTTTTTAAAATATTTTTTACTGTTTTGTTGTAATAAACGTTCAAACTTTTAATCTAACCTTTGACGTATACATTTATGTTCCCTTAATTAATATATCCTTAAAGGTTGCCATGAAACTTAGATCTTTACGTTTGAATTGTTATTTTCAGTATACGTATTCTATAATTTTTGTTTAGTTTTTTAAAGTTTTTTTTATAAACAAAAATGAAAAATTGTAGTAAAAGTTACGAAGAAATTCATGAAATTTAACTAAGGATCGGTTTATTCATCTTTAGTAAAGTTTATCGGGCCGGTAACTTTCATGTCTTGGCAATATCTAGTATCCAAAGAAATTATTCGTCAAATAATTCAAAAATGAATAAATCGGCCCTAAATAAAATGTGGGACCCTTAGAATTATTGTTTAATAAATGTATACTATACATTTAACCTTAAATTAAAACTTTAAACGTGTATTACAACAAAACAGTAAAAGATATAAAAAATGTATAGACCTTTTTTTAGGAAATTAACTAATATTTAATCTGATTTAAAAAGTTTTGATAATATTTAAATAAAATCGCAAGTTTTAATTGGAGAATTGAAAGTGTGCATACATATTTTTAATAAACATCCAATTAAAACAAAAATAACCGTCAAATTTTTTTTATTTTGCTCTTAAAATTTTAGTTATGTAGGTCATAACAAGAATATAAAAAAAATTTGGTTTCACAGAACAGCACCGTGAATTAAATTGTAGGTAAATATGTACTGCATACAAAAAAAATAAAATAACTGAATTTACTCAATTTTTTTTAATGGTTTTTCTAAGAAAGGCAAAAATAATTTCAAAATTTTGACATTTTTTTTTCGTTTAAAGTTGATAATATAAACAACTTTTATTCGAAATCGGCAGTAAAGTAGTCAACAATCGGCAGTAAAGTAGAACTTTACTGCCGATTTAATACGAGTATTGTATGCAACCCATTATACCGAATCCCGCCCACTGGTAGGGATTGAATTATTTTTGTTTGAGAACTTATAGGTTTTATTTTTATCGAATTCGTTTGTTTTGTTTTAATGCATTTCTGCAAATAAAAACCAAGTATTGTTTAAAATCCATTAAATTCCAGTTAATGGCGAAAATGTATTTCTTAAAAACTATACACATTTCCCTACGATAGTTTCGGAACTACTGAACAAACACAGTAGATCAAACTGCATGCCCTTGTATCTGGCTGTATGCCGCGCTGTTGCCATATGCTATTATTGTTTCCTAAAAGGGTTGTTTTTCATATTTTTTAATATTAAAAGTAATAAAATTAACTAAATCAAATTATTTTTGACACATTATTAATTTTTTTGTTATTTTTAAAGTTTCAAACAAATAAAATTGAACTATTTATTAAATAATTATAATCGTTCTCTTCTGATTTAAAACAACCTAGCAACTATGGTTCGTAATTACGAATGGCTTGGTTTAAACCACGCCCAATTAAAGTGTGTTTCTTTTTCTCTGATCAGAATATAATTTGTCATACTTGTCTCCAGCCTTACTTACTTGATTCTATACAGTCTGTATATCGATATTTTGATATTTCATGATATTTTCGAACCCTGGATATCAGAGTATAACGAAAATTTAACCGAATTTTAACTTGATCTTACTACGGTTTCGCGAAGAGAATCGCGTTTCGTCCGTACACTAAACGCGTTTCGGTTTTAGATATACCAAAACTACCTGTTGGCCGGAGCCTGGGTGCTCGTAACGGGCCTGCAAACGCACCTCTCCGCCAGCACGTCTTACGACAAAAACCCGCACCTGCGCGACCGCGACGAAAAAGGCCGCAGCCCGTGCAAATCTCGCGAAGGCTCGGCCCGCTCGGGCCTGCAAAAGTTCCAGCAGTCGTTCGGCGTGCTCTCCGTAGCCCTGGCCAACCGCGCGCTCGCCCTGCTATCCGAATTGTTCGACGACTTGCACCTGGAGGTGTGCGGAGGCGCCGGCAACGTCGCTCAAGTCGAACCGGCACCGCTGGCCATCATGGGGCAATTTACGGCCCTTCAAAGAGTCGGCAGGATACTGGGCGCCGCGCCGTTGAACCACCTGCTGTTCTACCTGGCCATAGTCAGCTACAGGAAGGCGTGCGCGTTGAAGAGGCTTCACCCGCCAGAGGGCGACACCTTCAGCCAATCGGATTCCACGACGTACTACGAGGATATGATCATTTGTTCGGACGACAGTTCCACGGATGGTAAGAGTCCTAAATAATTATTATGATTCACTCTATACACAGGAGTCTAGAACGGTTCAAAAGTTAAAAAAAAATGACAACAAAAACCTACAGTAGGGTATTGTTTACGGAAATCCCATCTGATCTTTTTTCTGACTTTTTCATGTTGATTTTTTGTGTTATTTTTTATGATAAATTAAAACTACAGCACCACTTCGCTACTTCAATGTTTTTAATGCGTTACTAAAATATATTTTTTTAATATTTGGATTTTAACTATTTTTTATATCCGGTTTCATTTTGTCTATACTTAATTTTTATTCAAAATTACATTAAAAATGACAGAACAGAAATAATTTATGAAAATATTTAATAAACATCATAAAGTCTTAAACCAACTGTATTAATTTAAATATTTTTCAAGGAAAAGTCAACAACAGCTTTTTGTACATTTTTCCACAAATTCAAATTTAAATCACTGCTACTGACTTTATATCGTCACGGACGATAAACGGACTCCCTTGCTTGTTTAGACCAGGTTCCTAAGGAGTGTATGTAATGAAGGCATTCTTCTAAATGGTTAAATTAACACGTGAATTTTAATAAACTTCTGTAGCTAAAAACATTTTCTTGTTAGACGATGATAGCGAACCGATTTTGGGTCAGTGGTTTGAAGAGACCATCGCACCTCCAGAACCAGTAGAAAGCAAAACTTCACCGTCATCTGAAAATGCAGAAACCAAAACCGCGCAAGGAGATGATGCCAACTCTATTGTCCCGCAAAAAGGTATTATATATGGTGATACGTTTTAAATCGCAAGCAATATACATATAATTATATTCTAAACTATATATTTTATTGCATTATTGCAAAGGTCATTTTTAAAAGAAAATTGAATTTGCTATACAAATCTTATGACGTCTTTACCTGTAACTAGGGTTTTAAAATTTCCGGAATAATTGAAAAATTTTCAGAAAAATTGACTTTTTTCGACTTTGATTAAAATCATATACAGGGTGTAATGTAATTAATGTAATATATTAAAATACTGAAACCTTTTGACATGAAACGGAAAAATATTTGCATTAGAAGTTTTTTATATTTTTTGTGATACGCCACTGGTTACACACTTGTGTTCTGTGAGTACATAGATACCAACCAACAAAGTAGCTGCGCGTTGCCAATTGTTACTAAAAATTTTCTGGCAAAAAAATAAATAAAAACCCAATAAATACAAAAGTTTTATGCCCTTAAAGCTCTAATACCCTTCTGTATTTATTTAATCATCCAGCTATTTGCTTAAGCAATGATTAAAAAATTTAGTACCTATTTTAAAAACTCTATAACCACAAAATTAATTTTTTCTTTCTGTTTACTCAGATGAAATTAGGACAAGTTCTCAGGTTAAACTTTAAGCATTCAATTTGTGTAAATAAATCCAAAAGCTTTTCCCTTAGTTAAGAATAATAAATAAATAAATAAAGTTTTTATTGCATATTCAGTACAATACAGAACATATACAAAATATACAAAAGGCCATCGACCGGGGTCCTTCAGCCTGGTAGTTAAGATATTTACAATTTGAGCACATAACCTAAAATGCAGAAGATTGAACTAGATTTTGTCATAAAAGTTGACATATTTTGTTTGAATTTTCCTTTATTACAAAAATGACATAATAAACAATTAATAAAAACACCAAATTAACAATTTGCATTGTTGATTTTGTCATTTTTGTAATTAAGCTAAATTTAAACAAAATCTGGCAACTTTTTTGACAGAATCTGGAAACGCTGGTTGTTACCAACCATAAAATTATAAATTAAATTAGGCAACCAGATTAGCCTACAGTTCCTAGTCGATCACAAGTGTACTTTTTGGTAGGATACAGGTTATTATAAATTATTTTTAGTCTTTAGAATTTACATTAATTACATAACACCCTTTATACATGATTATAATTATTCCTATTATTATAATTCAGTAAGAATCGTTTCACACATCGGTTTATAAAATTATAATTTAACTTTATAAATCATTCGTTATTTTGTCAATGGATATTTTCAATTGATTAACGTTTACTTTTGTTTTCTTAAATCAATTCAATCATTATTTTTATTAAATTAAAATAATGTTAACTGGTTGATTGTTTTGTATATTTTCAAAAAAGCAAATTTTTCCAAGGCCTGAGAAAAAAGGAAAAAAACAGTTTTTTCCCCAACTTGCAACTTTCAAAATTACTGTTTTTATTCAATATATGACTTCTATAATATTCTATAGAAAATTTAAAAAAAAATTCCAATTTCCTGTTAAAATCAAAATAAAATACTTGATTTTAAAGTTTTTTCATTAGAATAACAGGAAATTGGAATTTTTTTTTCAATTTTCTATAGCATATTATAGAATATTAAGGGCTGAAACTTTGAGGACCTTTTTTCTCTCTACATGTACATAAATATTTTGCTTGGGTAGTGACAAAAAATAAATATACACATACAAACTATAATTCTTGTAGGGGAAGCTCATGGTTACATTACCCTGGCCACAAATCTATTCACATTTCTCAACAAGCACTTTTTGTGTTCGAGAAGCACTTACATAAGTAGGTACGTTAAAAACGGCCTAACCGAGCAGCAGATGATTATTTTGGCGGCGATTTTGAGAGACTTGGACAGAGAAACGGCTCGCACCGAAACCGGTATGTTAATTTTGTCGGGAAAAACCGCGCGAAATCAACTAATAAATGTTAAATTGCAGGAACAATTTCGGTGTACTTTGGCGCCCAACTGGGTCAGTTGTACTGCGACTTTTCGGGCGCGCTCACGCGGTTCACTCACAACTTAATCACGAACCAAAACTTGAGTTCGCTTCAGGCGTGCCTTTTGAATCACCTGGGCGTGTCCCCCTGGACTTCCGACGTGCCCCACGGGTGGCCCCTTCAAGTCTACCCGAGGACTCTGGCAGTCCTAGCGCAGGTATGTACGATATTTCTGTTTTTATAATTTTTCAGAACACCCAGGAGCCGAATGTCGTTTTAGAAGGCTCCAGTTTCAAGTAGAGATTCATTCCATTATATCACATAAACCAAGCTATAATATTTTTTGTATTTTCTGAGAACATTTACCATAGTAATGTATATTTTTTTTACACCATCAGAAAGTAGAGAGTTCATCGAACAAAAAGCACACCGACTTTTTGAAAAAAGCTGATATTTTGACGCGAGAATTTTCGATTGAAAATTAGGGTGCTTTTTTGATATTAAGTCAAAATAAGGCGAAATAATAAATATTTTAAATCAAATAAATTACAGTGTATTTGGGGCATAAAAAGGTAAGTTTTCACCAAATTTCGTGGAAAATTTTTTTTTTTTTGAAAAAGAAAAATAAAAAACCAAATACTTGGTTTTTTGAATTTTTCACATAAATTTTGAGGTTATGTGAAAAAATTGTAAATACAAAAGTTGTAGATCTTTTTATTACCTACAACTTTGACATTTAACTTTTTTCCATAGGACTTGTAGTTTTGCCGGAAATCGAGATAAACCATTTTTTACCCTTAAAACCACCCCCCTCCCACTTCCCGAACTCAGATCGCCCGTAATTTATTTTTCCTTTAATTTTTATTATATTCCCCTCCTTTTCCAATGGGTTTCATCCACACTGGTCTAAAATCCATATGAAAACGACGAAACTCGTTGCTCGACCATCTTGGATTTCGATCAAATTTTATAGAAATATTCATCGTCATTTTTATGCTTTAATAATTTAAGCTGTAATTTTTTTTCTATTAAAGATACTTTAAATTTTAAGATGTCATTTTAAAGCTAAAAAATAGTAGTTTTTATAAAAAAAAATATTCAATATTTTTGCTGAAAAAACGGGTATTTTACTAATTTTTCGTGTTTTTTAAATGCTTCCCATGTATCGGCTGTTTAATATTAACAGCTAATTTTTTATATATATATAAAGTTTACATACCAAAGACAAAACAAAACTTGGCATACGGTTTCCAAACAAAAAAAATGCTTGAAATTTTAAAATTCTAGAAAATCGCATTATTTAAGCCGTTATATAAAGATGTTGACTTCCAAATAGAATTATGAAATTTACAGGATAATTAATCCCTACCTTAATGTTGAAATGTCTGGTAGTTTGGTTTTGTTATTTTCATCTTTGAAGCTTATACAGTAGCTTTAAAAGGAAAAAAATATTGAAATATTAAAATTCGCATTATTTCATCCATTTTATAAGTATGTTGACTTCAATATAGAAATATGAAATTAACAGGATATTTAGTCCTTACCTTGAAGTTTAAATGCCTATTTAACTTGTTTTGATATTTTCATCCATTTTGCTTTTACATGGGCTTTAAAAGGAGCAAACATATTGAAATTTAAAAAACGATTATTGTTTAATTTTCTATTCTAAGAATGTGTTGACTTCAAGATAGAAACATGAAACTTACAGGATATTTAGAGTCTAAATATTAGACCTTACTATGATGTTTGGCTTATATGTTATGCATATGTTATTTATGTAGGTAGGTACTTATATGCATATAACTTTTTTTAAATTTTATTATTTTTTTGATGCTTTTAAAGCATCTGTACAATCACAAAAAAATAAAAAAGCAAAATGAGCTATACAAGCTTTTAAACTTTGTGATAAGGACTAAATTTCCTGTAAGTTTTATATTTCTATTTAGAAGTTAACATTTATATGATTTAAGGATAAAATTAATCGTTTTTTAATTTTCTGTGTTAGCCTTTTTTAAAGCCTATGTATAAGCAAAATGGATGAAAATATCAAAACCAGTCAAACAGGCATTTCATTTTCAAGGTAAGGACTAAACATCCTGTTAATGTCATATTTCTATATTAAAGTAAACATACTTATATAATGGATGAAATAATGCGACTTTTTAATATTTCAATATTTTTCTCCTTTTAAAACTACTGTATAAGCTTCAAAGATGAAAATAGCAAAACCAAACTACCAGGCATTTGAGCATCAAGGTAGGGATTAATTATCCTGTAAATTTCATAATTCTATTTGGTCAACATCCTCATATAACGGCCTAAATAATGCGATTTTGTAGAATTTCAAAATTTCAAGCAATTTTTTTGTTTGAAACCGTATGCCAAACGGGCCAATTGTAAGTTTTATTTTGTCTTTGGTATGTAAACTTTATATATAAAAAAAATTAGCTGGTTATATTAAACAGCCGAGACATGTGACGCATTTAAAAAACACGAAAAATTAGTAAAATACACGTTTTTTTAGCACTGTGTAATTATTTAGAAATAGTAAACTTATATTTTTTTATAAAAACTACTATATTTTAGCTGTAAAATGACATCTTAAAATTTAAAATATCTTTAATAGAACAAAAAATTACAGCTTAAATTATTAAAGCATAAAAATGACGTTTTTAAAAAGTGTTAATTCGAATAGGCCGGATTTTACACATGCGAAAAATTAAATAAGGGTGGATTTTGTCCTTTGGGACCCTAATGAATATTTCTATAAAATTTGAGCAAAATTCAAGATGGTCGAGCAACAAGTTTAGGCGTTTTCATATGGATTGACTCTCTACAAAAGGTCTGATGAGTTTAATTGAATAATCTAACCGTTGAGAAGATATTCAATGAATATTATTCATATCAGCACGTATATGATATGTCATACTCATTTGACAATGACTATTTTTCAATGAATTTTTTTTTTAATAAATTCTTTAAACTTTGATCTTGAATATCTTTTAAATGGTTGGAGTAATCGCTTAAACACATTCGTCCTTTTGTGTAGAACATTCAATTTCCTAACAAAATATGTATACAAATTTGATTAAACGCTTGATTATTAATGAAATATGTTTATAGAAACATTTTTTTTTTATTTTTACCAAAATATATCAACGTTATTTTCCCATTTTACCTTTTCATGTTTTGTTTTAAAGGTGTTATTGTTGCGTCCACAAAACGAAAAAGAGGCTTCCGTCATCAGCATCTGGCATAAACTAGTCAACACCTTAATCGAAAACGTACTGAATGCACCTCAAGGTGCGACTGAAATCGAAAACGAAGGTAACTAAAAGACGACCCTTTCCTCGCAAAAATATTTGCACCGATGTTTATTTTAGACTTGAACGTGGAGCACGCGCAGGTGCTCTTGTACCTCTTCCACTCCTTGACCTTGATGCAGAAGAAGTCGGTGGTTCTCTTGATGGCGGGCGGGGTGTTAAGATGCTCGGAGGTGGTGTCTAACCCTCTTAAAGACTCTCAGTTGCTACATCTGTCGAGACTTTTGCTTCTCTTTGACTATATTATGAAGCATTTGTACGACGCGCCCAATTCTTTGCTTGAACCGATACAGTGGAACTTGTTTTATTCTACGAATTTAAACCAACCGAAAGAGAAAGACGGCAACACCACTAGGTTGTATATAATGTGGCAGGATATAGAGGTTAATTACAGGTAGGGAAAAGTGAAATTTTTAAAAATTTCAAATGAAATTTTCAATTCGAAAATTTCAACATTGCCTGTGAAACTTTCAGAAATCTCATTGAAATTTTCGCAATTTACTGAAAATTTCGCGTAAATTTCACATGCGGCCTCCCCTGGGACCTTTAATAATAATTTACAACAGATTCCGAATCGACCAATAAGAACGAGTTATCGAGCGTCTGGGCGTTTTTGTTTAGTTCGGCTTGGATTTGAATGCACTATAAGTAATTATTGTTACTTATAAGCATAAATTAATTTAAATAATTTAATTCAGTTACCAATTTAATTTGTAAATTAAATCAGACTTTAAAATTTTTTTAAAAGACATGATTAATTTCAACTTTTACTTTTGCTATAATTGCATCGGAAAACGGATAAAAAATGCCTTTGGCTCATAAAATTTTGATGAAGTTTCTTCAATTTTTGTAAAATTACAGTAAAATATATAAAAATAATAAATACCTATACAGGGTGTTATGTAATTAATGTTATATATTAAAATACTGAATACCTTTTGACATAAGGAATAAAGGAAAAATATTAAAAAAAACATTTTTCCAAAGATAAAGAAAAAATATGCATTAGAAGTTTTTTATATTTTTTGTGATACGCCACTGGTTACACACTTGTTTATCTCTGCACACTTGTATTTTGTGAGTACATAGATACCAACCAACAAAGTAGCTATGCGTTACCAGATGTAAAAAATTGTTACTAAAAATTTTTCTTGCAAAAAATAAATAAAATTCAATAAATACAAAAGTTGTATGCCCTTAAAGCTCTAATACCCTTCTGTATTTATTTACTGATCCAGCTATTAGCTTAAGCAATGATCAGAAAATTTAGTACCTTTAAAATTTGAAATCCATAACCACAAATTTTTTCATCAGTTTTTTTCTCTGTTTACTCAGATGAAATTGGGACCAGTTCACAGGTTAAACTTTAAACATTTAATTTGTGTAAATAAATCCAAAAGCACTTCCCTTAGTTAAGATATTTACAATTTGAAAACAACCTAAAATTTAAAAGAAGTGCACTAGATTCTGTCATAAAAGTTGGCAGATTTTGTTTGAATTTACCTTCAGTACAAAAATGAAATAACCAACAATTAATAAAAATGCCAAATTGACAATTTGCATTGTTAATTTTGTCATTTTTGTAATTAAGCTAAATTTAAACAATGTTTGTCAACTTTTTTGAGAGATTTTGGAAATACTGTTGTTACCAACCATAACATAATAAATCCACCAGATTAACCTAAAGTTCCTGGTCGATCAGTGGCGTACTTTTTTGTAGGATAAAGGTTATTATAAATTATTTTTAGACTTTGGAATTTAGAAAAAAAAAGTTTCAGGTGCTTCTTTATGGACCCTAAGGAACAACCCATTTTAATATTTTATTTATTTATTTCTGACCCCAAAACTATATATAACATTAATTACATAACACCCTGTATATATAAACATAAAACAATGAAAGTGGCACAATCTCATTAGCTTACCAAAAAGTGCTAAATCTCTTTTAGTTTTAGTAATTTTAAAAATATTTTAAAAGGAAATCTCAAGAAATTTGTGGTAAACATAGGTATTTACTATTTATATTATTGGAGGTCAGGGGCCCATAGAGGGGTAGGAGGTAAGAGAGGCAATTTGCCATGGTCCCTGAGTGGGCTTATTTCAATATTAATAAATTACACTTAAAGTGATTGAAATTTATTGAAAGTTTCAATAAATTTCATAAAATTTCAGACATTTAGGAAGTTTTAATAAATTTCATAAATGTCGTGAAAATTTCAAGTGAAATTCAATTACAGGAAAGTCTCCGGTTGCGATGAATTTGCGATGAAGCCTAGGTTTTACGTTTTGACTAATCTGGAGATTAACAACCAAGATGCGCCTAAGTTGGACGGTTTGGCGTGCAATTTTATCCTGGGAACCCCCGATAAGTTGAGGTATCCTTTGTTGCTCGACGCGCTGATCAAAATATTGAACGTAACGAATATGAAGTCTGCGGCCGCGTCTAAGATGAGTTTTCTGGGGCAGTGCGCGACGCAGTATTGCTTTACCATTTGCTGGAGGCTTTTGCAGCTTTTACCGCCGTCTATAACCTACTTCGAACGCTTGGCGGCAGGGGAGAATTTTAAGCCTTGCCCTCAGTTATTGCACTCGCTAATTTGGGGGCCTCGGTCTTCCAATAAACACTTCAGCCGCTGGCTCAAAGATTGCCTGGTGAAACAAGGGATGTTCACGCAGGTGACTGATAAGCTGCTAAAATCGGTTGCCGACGCCGTTAACAACCTCAAATACGACATCACCAACGCCAAAAAGTGCGTGGTGACCCTCACGCCAGAAATCACCGCTGGGTGCATGGCCAAAGAAGATTTACCACCCCTGTGGAACTTAATATTACTCGACGCGCTTCTGGCTAAAGTCCAAGCATCTTTGGAGGAAGCCGAGACTCAAAACGCCGCCTCGGAATCTGCGACTTTAGTTCAAGACCTCCTCCCGCACGTCATAAAACTCACCCAAGCGATTCAACACTGCGCCAGGTGGTCTTTACTTCACAGCGCGGTGGATCAAAGCGACGCCGCGAAGAAACTCAACTTGCAAGAGTTTGAGGGGGTGCAAGATATGCTCGCGATTTCGTCCAATAGGAACGTCCTCACCAACAGTTTGTCCTCGGAGTTGTCCACATTGTTGCCGACGGGAGTTTCTTCGGTTCAACAGCAGTGGAACAACTTGGTTCTCGAAGATATCACCTCGGTAAGTGCAAGTGTTTTTTATTTCATTTTTCAGGAAAAAGTTTAGAGATAAATTGTGAACAAAAATCATTCTTTAACGGGATAATAACGGCGGTATAGTTGAACATTTATTATGATTTTGTGGAACACTTAAAAAAATAGCCACATGAGCATAAGTTACTGCCGATGACGCAAATGTTGCGTCACGGCGACCAATGAAGCACCTGTCGAGTCAAGTACCATTGAATATAATATGAATATGAAGCCATGATACATCATGATACATGCGAGGCAGTTCATTTTACGTTGGCCTCTACAAAACACTTTTTTGAAAGTTTTAAACAAAAAACTATTCGGTTTTTCGTGAGTCCTTAATCTGGCATCGGCAGTCAACGTGTTAAAATTGTATAGCTTTAAAATATTCCCATCTAAAAATTTTAGGTTTAACTATCATATGAATATATTGAGATGTCCCCCAAGTGAAAATGATTATTTTTTATTTTTGATTGTTTTACTGTTAGTCTAGAATGGGGTTGCCACCAGGTCTAGTAATAACATAACATAAGTCACGGTGCTGTTCTGAGAGGTGATTTTTGGACTTTCTGTGAAACCTATTTTTTTTATATTCTTGTTAATTAGGTCATAACTAAAATTTTAAGAGCGAAATAAAAAAAAATTGACGGTTTGAATTGTTTTAATTGGCTGTTTATTAAAAATATTATGCACTCTTTCAATTATCCAATTAAAATTAGCGATTTAATTTAAATATTTAATATTTGCATAACTAAAAAAAAGGTTTTTACATTTTTATATATTTTACTGTTTTGTTGCAATAAACGTTCAAACTTTTAATCTAACCTTTGACGTATATGTACATTTATGTTCCCTTAATTAATATATCCTTAAAGGTTGCCATGAAACTTAGATCTATTAAAAATTTATTTGACGTTTGAATTGTCATTTTCAGTATACGTATTCTATAATTTTTGTTTAGTTTTTTAAAGTGTTTTTTATAAACAAAAATGAAAAATTGTAGTAAAAGTTACGTAGAAATTTATGAAATTTAACTAAGGACCGGTTTATTCATCTATAGTAAAGTTTATCGGGCCGATAAGAAATATTTCGTCAAATAAATCAAAAATGAATAAATTGGCCCTAAATAAAATGTGGCACCCTTAGAATTATTGTTTAATAAATGTATACTATACATTTAACCTTAAATTAAAACATTAAACGTGTATTACAACAAAACAGTAAAAGATATAAAAAATGTATATACCTTTTTTTAGGAAATTAACTAATCTTTAATCTAGTCGTCTAAATTTAAACAACATTATTAAAAGCGTTGATTAAGAAAGACTCCACTCAACGATAAAATACCATTATATTATGTATATAATATTATGTTGTCGGCGTTTTTTAGAGAACTCAAATATAAAAATGGTTAATTTTAAGGTTACTTTTGTGCAAAAATTATTTTTTACTAATTTCTTAAAAATGTCCAAACTTAAATATAAATTATATTAGGTAAAGTTATCATTAGTTAATTCTGCACCAATAAATGTACTTACCGAATTGGATCCTTTGGCAAAACATGAAAATGCCACGATTTAGTTCTTGAATTTTATTTACAATTAAAAACACAATAATTCGCCATGACCCCTTAGGTAAAATACACACACTAACGTAACTATATAAGCATTTAACGTTGAGTTTCTTAATCAATGATATAAAGAATAATCAATCGAAATCGAGTACTAAACCAGTTTTTTAGTTTTTTCCTTGCAACGTAAAACAAAAATAACGTGCGCGATACTTCTTTAGCGTATAGCATATTTTGACGATGTAAGGGGCTTTTTTGTTCACAATTTTCTTTTTTTAAACTTCTTCAAGCTGAGCATTAATTTCTTCAGGTTCCATTCCAATCGGACATAATCCCATCCGAAAACTTTATACTGAAAATAGTGGACACCCACGTTTCGAGTCTCTCGATGAGCTCGCCGTTCAGCATAAATCTGCCGTTGAAAAGGTTGCTGCAATGCTTGGTCAAGTTTATCTGCGAGCACGCTCCCAAAATCGACAACACGGACACGAAAAACAAGGCCATAGAGATGCTTGTATCTATCACTCTAGACTTGAGAACCGAGTACCTACACGAAACCGCGTCTAAGACTCTGGACAAAATGATTGGGGAGCCGGAAACTGACGAGCACCAGAAAAGAGTGTACTTGAGCGTTCTGGAGCATACCTACAGATTGATAATCAACTGCACCAGCAATAACCCGAGTTACTCAGCGAACATCAACGAACGCGTTCTGTATCACTGCCTGAAGTTTTACGAGAGAATAATCGAGAAATCCTCCGGCAGACAGGCTCTGGAAGCCTTTTTCTCCGGTGATAAAGATTTGGTAAAGGTCTTGATGTCAGTGTCAAGTCCACAGACGTCGCAGCAATACAGCACCAGGGTGTTGCACTTCTTCAACAAGCTGTTCCAAGCAGCTGACAAAAGTTCCACGGATCCCAGCCTCAATTATCTGTGTTCCAGCATCAGCAAACTGGCAAACGTCGAGGCGGAAAAATTGCAGACTTGGTTGCAGCACATTATCATTGGCGGAAATAACCCATCTGTCGCTTCCATAACGGTAAGTTCTTGTTCATTGAGGTGTTGGGTCGGGATAGGAAAAATTTGGTTTTTTTTCTCCAATGAAAAATTCCTTTGTGTTTTAAAAATAATCATAATTTCAGACACGTCATTTTTTTGTGCGATCCAATAAAATGTCATCCACGATATTCGGCACATTAGACCAGGGTCGATAATTTTTGAAACCAAAAAAAATAACAGTAGGATGAAACCCATTGGAAAAGGAGAAGAATATAATAAAAATTAAAGGAAAAATAAATTACGGGCGATCTGACTTCGGGAAGTGGGAGGGGGGGGTTAAGGGTAAAAAATGGTTTATCTCGATTTCCGGCAAAACTACAAGTCCTATGGAAAAAAAGGTAATAAAAGGATCTACAACTTTTGTAATTACAATTTTTTTACATAACCTCAAAATTTATGTGAAAAATTCAAAAAACCAAGTTTTTGGATTTTTATTTTTATCTTCTTCAAAAAAAAAATTTTTTCCACGAAATTTGGTGAAAACTTACCTTTTTATGTCCCAAATACACTGTAATTTATTTGATTTGAAATATTTATTATTTCGCCTTATTTTGACTTAATATCAAAAAAGCACCCTAATTTTCAATCGAAAATTCTCGCGTCAAAATATCAGCTTTTTTCAAAAAGTCGGTGTGCTTTTTGTTCGTTGAAATCTCTACTTTCTAATGGTGTAAAAAAATATACATTCCTATTCCTATGTTCTCAGAAAATGCAAAAAATATTATCATTGAGTAAAGAAGTGGGGAAGAGGCGTGGTCTAATGTATTTAAAATAACTCCAAAATCGATCCTCGTTGTTAGAGGCGCCACCGTCGATCTTATCTTGAGATTTAAATTCTAAATTAGAGTGAGACCCTTAGAGTGAGACAGTAAGAAACGCGTCGTCATCAGCATCCCCACTTTCTATGCAATGCGCGGCGGCCGCCGGTCGCATGCATCGTGAAGGTCGACTAGATTAAATTTAATTCAGTTTGCACAAAGCAATTGCTGAAGTAGGTTGTTGTACTTAATTCGTTAGCGAAAATGAATAATTTACCTACAAATACTTGTTTATATAACAAATGTTTTTAAAAAAAGGCAAAACCAGCTTTGTATTGTTCCAATTTCCAATAAAAGACACCGAACGGTGTGAAATTTGGAAGAAAAATTCCGGAAATCAACTTTTATTGGATTTAGATTATAATGATCTAAAATTTAAATGTATTTGTGAAAAACATTTTTTGCCGAAGGACATTCTTACAAGCCTTTTTTAATAATTAATTCTTTAAACGCATTAAACAATTAATTTTATATTCTTTATGTAAATAAATCATTACAGGTGCGTGAAAATATATTTATTAATTTTTAAGTGAAAATAAAGATAAAACTACAAAAAAAACAATATAATTTGATTTGTTTTGTTTATCTTAAAATGACATTGTTATTTTCAAAAATCTTCACTTAACGGTATTTGCTTAATGTTTTTGATGTTTATATTTCAAACTATTCAAATGTGTTGCTTAATATTTTGTTTTTGGTGATTTAATTTAAAAAAAATGCTACATACTAATCGGCAACCAAATTTTGTTTTAGTTTTGAAATAGACACACCCGTGCGCACGGGGGGTTTGGGGGTTTAAAATTTAAACCCCCGGGGTTTTAAAAGAATATTAATAATTTTTTAAAATTATTTTGAACAAAATTCCTCTTCCGGTTTTAACAGAAGCGATTGTTTATTAATTTAAAAAGGGGGTTTAAAATTTAAACCCCCGGGGTTTTAAAAGAATATTAATAATTTTTTAAAATTATTTTGAACAAAATTCCTCTTCCGGTTTTAACAGAAGCGATTGTTTATTAATTTAAAAAGTAATATTTAAAAATTTGAAATATTTAATACATAATAGGAATTGTACAATATCTTTGTTATTATTAACTTTAGGTATGGTATAGGAAATGGTTATATCAATGAAAAGGTACAGGGCGTTGCATTAAAAATAAAAAAGTTATTGCTAAATAGTAGTCATAGAATTTGAAAATAAGGCACTTACGTGTTGTTAATTAAATGGTCATTATGTTGTTGAAAATGACAAAAATTTGAAAACTCTGGGGTATATATATATATTACAATTTTGGAGCTGCTTGAGAAATATTAAAAAATAATTTAATTTTTGTAAAGAATAATATATATATGTATATATGAGAAAAAAAATCGGCAAAATGTTAGTGTTTTTAAAATTTGTCTTTTAATTTAATACTTTTAAATAGTTAGTTAATTTTTAAGTAGAAAAATTTAAATTTATTTATTATTTAATATATTCCAAAAAAACTACCTTTTTTTAAATAAAATTTGCATAAAAAAGTATAAGATTTCTTGAAATTCATCATTGGATATTTTGCCAACAAAAATTAGGGATTTGTTTAATCTTATTTTATTTACAAACAATTCTAAAAAAATCGATTAGTTTAGAAAAATCATAATTATCTAACGTAATAAGGGCCGTTCATAAATGATGTCACACACTTAGGGAGGAGGAAGGGGTCGTCGTATACAGGGGAACCCAACAAAGTATCCAACAACACTTTGACAGATGTCAAGTGAACAGGTGACATATGTCAAGTGACAGATGTCAAGTTAACAGATGACATATGGTAGGTGATATATGACAGGTGATATATGACAGGTGGCAGATGACAAATGACAGGTGACAGATGATAAATGGCAGGTGAGAGATTACAGGTGACAGATGCATGGTGCTGTTCTGAGAGGTGATTTTTGGACTTTCTGTGAAACCTAATTTTTTTTATATTCTTGTTAATTAGGTCATAACATAAATTTTAAGAGCAAAATAAAAAAAATTTGACGGTTAATTTTGTTTTAATTGTATGTTTATTAAAAATATGTAGGTATGCACACTTTCAATTCTCCAATTAAAACTTGCGATTTTATTTAAATATTACCATAACTTTTTAAATCAGATTAAAGATTAGGCCCGATAAACTTTACTAAAGATGAATAAACCGGTCCTTCGTTAAATTTCATGAATTTCTTTGTAACTTTTACTACAATTTTTCATTTTTGTTTATAAAAAACACTTTAAAAAACTAAACAAAAATTATAGAATACGTATACTGAAAATGACAATTCAAACGTCAAATAAATTTTTAATAGATCTAAGTTTCATGGCAACCTTTAAGGATATATTAATTAAGGGAACATAAATGTATACGTCAAAGGTTATATTAAAAATTGAACGTTTATTGCAACAAAACAGTAAAATATATAAAAAAAATTGTAAAAACCTTTTTTTTTAGTTATGCAATTATTAAATATTTAAATTAAATCGCTAGTTTTAATTGGATAATTGTAAGAGTGCATAATATTTTAAAAATATCAAAAAAACGTGTGACATCATTTATGGACGGCCCCTAAGATACTCAATGATTTAATATTAAAAAATAATAATACGTGTAAAATTTTTACCTGTCAAACAAAAAATATACCACAGACAAATTTAAATTTTTTAAAATTTGCATATCTACTCTTGACTATAACTTGATAACATGATTGGTTTTAATTTTTTTTTAATTTAATATTTTTTAAATTTGCAGATACTGAAGAAAATTTTAGTGTCTTAAGGGAAACAAATGTAAAAACCTATGAGATTAACAGGCAAAATATTGAGAATGAAAATTTTGTAGATAATTTAGATAGCCCAGAAAGACCAAACTCTGTACTTAGTGACCGATATTTAAATATGCCATCACCAGAAAAAACTTGTTTGAGAAAAAATAACAAAGAAATGTCCTGTAAAATAATAAAATTACGGAAAAAAATTAAATGCAAATTACAACAAGTTAAAAGATTAAAAAATAAAAATAAAAACAACCATTTTTCAATCAAAGAAATTTTAAATAATTTATTGAGCAATAAGAGTCATTTTTTAAAAACTTTTATTTTAATGCAGCTTTTTCATAATTAATGCATTTACATTACATTTGTACAAAACATGATAATTTTTGAAAGAAAGAATTACAAGTAAACATTTCCATTTCTTTGCCAATAAAAATTAAAATAGTTTCAGTTACACTCACATTAATAATATCTTGGGCAGCCTGTAAAAATGATTTATGTTTTTAATAATTCAATATTTTATTAACATTAATATTACCTTTCCTGGCTCAGTTTGCTCCGGTTTCTGTTAAAAAAAAGATGAATAATTTTCTGATATTTAATTATTTTAGTATTAATAATAAATTTTATTACCCCTTCAGTTCTGGTTGAACTTTCGCCGTTTTTCTGAAATATTAATTAAATTAATAATAAAATTTAATATTTTAAAGGTATTATTATTACATTTTCGGGATTTTTGGTTTGCTCCGACTCCTGGTAAATAAATTATTAAGATTAATTACAAGTTTTATATTTAGGTATTTTATTATTTATATTATTATTACCCCATCCCCCTTCTCTTCCTGGACCAGCTGAAAAGTTAATTAGATTAATAAAGAATTTAATATTTTAGAAATATTATTATTAGATACCTTTTCGGGCTCAGTTTTCTTTGCCTTCTGGTAAAAAAATATTTAGATTAATGACAGATTCAGTTTTTATTATTTCAGTATTATTACCTCGTCGGTGTTGTCCGTCCGGCTCTATTGAAAAATTAATTAGATTAATAATACATATTTAATTCTATTATTATTATTACCTGGATCTCCTCAACTAAAAGCTAAAAATAATTTTATTAATATTTTGTATAAATTATAAATTAGGTAACTTACCTTATTTAGAATATCTTCCAACTGTCCCTAAAAATAAAAAAAACGTTTAAAATACTCTTAAAAAAAAAAGACTTACCTTTGATATTTCCTTTTCCCGCTTCTAAAAAAATGATCGATATTAATTATCTAGAATCTAGATGAAAGAGAAAATATAATAGGTACTCACTTTATCAAAATTTTTTTCATCTGCTTCCAACTTAAAAAAAAAAAAAAAAAACAAT